GCTGCTGGCTTCCTGCCATTTAGAACCACCTCGTGAGGTGAAGGGAGATGAGGCTGGACGCTGTCTATAAGAGAGGACAGCTGGCCACCAGTAGAAAGAATGTAGCTGCGTGGTGAACAACCTGTAATTGGGCTGCATGACCTGTGCAGTTGGCCAAATTCGGTTTAAACCGAATTTTCAATTCGGAATATTTCAAATTAAAAGTAGAAAAGTAGAAAATGGTCGAAAAATGTCTAAACCGTTTTATACTTTTACATTTGAAATACGAAACATCTGAAATGTGAAAGCGAAAACGGTAAAGTCGGATAAGAAAATGCGGATTCGATCGGATTAAATATAGAAAACGATGCGGTTCGGTTCGGGATATTTCCGTTCCGTTTTCATCTTTATCTAAGAGTAACCATAGCTAACTAGTAGTATGCCCGTGCTAACACTACGGTGGCATTTAAACATACAAAAACAACCAAAATATGAGCTGACAAAACTTAAATTTCTGCAAAGACCAAAAAATACCCATGTCCTTGGTACATGTAAAATATTTCACAAACTGGTAACCTCTAAAACTTTGTGGCCAACTTTTTCATTCCAATTATTTTCTTTTTCAACAGTTAGATTGCAACTCCACTAATTACCTCTAAAACTTTGTAGCCAACTTTTTCATTCCAATTGTTTTTTTTTCAACAACTACATTGCAACTCCACTAATTACCTCTGTACCATAAGCTCGGGGAGCATCCATTTGATGTTCCGTGCTTAACCTGCGCTCTTCAGTCAGTGCACCTCAACCACTGGGATGTGGCGTAATTAGATGAAGAAAATGAAGAAAAAAAATATGGACACATCTTTGCACGCTACAAGTCAATCTCATTCAAATCCATGACCTCTCTAGGACAACATGAACTGCAATGACCTCTCTAGGACAACATGAACTGCAATTATAAAAAATCTCTTGTGATCCTCAGCCACAGCCTTCCAAGGATCTGTAATGAAATTAGCACATTTGCAAATAGAGGCTGCTTTATGGCGGCGTAGCGGAGGGGAAGAGAGAAGGAAGTGGCTGGCCAGCCGCCCTCGCCTCGCCCAACCCGCGGACGTGTGGCACGCCCGTGTTATGAGAACAATTCATTCGCAATTGATGAATTTTAATGAAATTTACTATGAGTCAATTCATATATCGTATAAAAATAATTGACCTTTTTCAACTGCACAATAGGATATGTGAACATATTCAATCTGTACCAAAATTTGCAGTCATTTAATGTTATAAATATTAAGGTATGATATAAGTTCATATCTTCTTGGTTCTTTTAATAAAGAAACACAAATTATAGATTTGATTTAGAGGAGAATATTTAAATTATAGAGAATCCTTGGCCAATAGTTGCGAGGGCTCCTTGATGCTGCTTGTGCCGCCTGTTGCTCTTGTCATCTTCTCATTGTCTGCTCCTCACAACGACATCGACTGGAGCATGCATTTCCGCCTTGCAGAACTGTTTGGTTTCCCTGCAACAGCCAAGTGTAGCAACTGCTAATCCATTAATATACAATAAAATGCTCCCAGTCCAAGTACTTCTCAAATAAAGGGCATGGCATGTTATTGTTTAGACTCATTAGCATCAACAATATGTAATAGAATGGTTTTAATTTAATCTTAGTAAGAGAGAATGACCATGAATTGCCAGATGAGGAAAAAAGTTGCACCAAATACTCACCATCTTGACAGTGATATTCAGTTTCTCCTAATGGCTTTCAACTGGAATTGGCTTGTTCAAGTAGAATATGTCAGTGATAAACTTGTGCACTTGCGCCAATTGCAGATCATCTGTAGAAAAAAGATGCATATTACAGTTATTTCTTAAGCAACGATGTCATGTTATATTGTTATCAGCTCGCGGATTCCAGTTGGTGTTATATACCTATCAGCTCGCGGATGTCGGACCGGTGCTTCGGCGTATCCTGGCGGCCGGTGGGTTTCTTGCGGAGGAGGCGTTTCTTGCGGGAACTCGGCGGCCTGGATGTTGGTGTTGTAGACTACGGTTCTTGCCCACGCACACGCCGCCGCCCCGTCGTCAGCCGCCATGGCGCCGCTGCCGCCTGAAAGATGCGTGGGGATGGAGCAGGGTGTCTCTATGGATTGGAGATGAATAGGAAGGTTTCATCACGTTACAGCTAGAGAAGAAATTTGGGCTGTAGAAAAGGAAGTGGAAAATTTAATTCCCTTTGACATGGATATCTGATTTTTGAAACGGGAAATCAGGAGGAGAGGACGCGCCGGTTTTCAGGGGATCCGCGCGTCATGGAGAGCTTCCTGACGGATACATTGAAAATAGTGGTCAAGCAAAATAGTTGCGCATACAATGAACTTCTTCACTAAATAGCTTTACAATTCTTCAATTATTCAAATACATAAAAACCTACTGAAGAGCACCATTGTTCAATCCTATCGCATAGTATCATTCCCTGTCAAACTAATTCCCAATCAAAACTAAATTGTCCTTGCCTCACATTGACAGAATGAAAGAACTTACACACAAGACAGTAAGACACAGCAGCAGGCCAACCATTCTCCTCTTTAGTTTTTGTCGCACTGCTGAAGGGAGCAGGGGCCCGACACGACCGGTTGGGCACATCAGCGGGCAGCCACGGATCGCACGAGGAAGGGAGTAGGCGCCGCGATCAGTGCTTGGCGTTGTTCCTACTGGGCGATCGCGGGATTGCGCTGAGATCAACGTGTTGCGCGGGATCAATGTGGGCGATCAAGACGGGTGGTGACTGGTGCTCCCCGATCGCAATCGCGATCGCGCCGTGCCCTGGCGACTGCTGCTCCCTATTGCGTGGAGGACGTCAATTGCGTGACTTCCGCGAGTTTCCTACTGAAGTCGCATGCGGGGAGGATGTTGATTGCGGAAGGTCCCATCTGCCACGACCGGTTGTATCGGCAGAGCGAGGAGACGATCGCATGGGGGAGGGCAGGAAGGTGAGGCGAAGTCTTTGTCGCACTAAAATGGTGTCTTCTCTTTAGTCTTTTTAGTTGTGAGAGATTCACCGCTAAGTCATACTCCCTCCATAAAAAAAAAATCATTATGGAATACGTGTATGTTAAACTTTCTAAATGCTTGTAATATTTATATCTTCCAATAAGTTTATTATTAAAGTATATTCAACGATCTATCTAATAATACTAATTATGTATTATAAATATTAATATTTTTTCTTTTATATATAATTGGTCAAAGTTAAAATAAGTTGACTTCTTGAGAAGCGAGAACGACTTCTATTTTGGGACAGCAAGTACATCATGTTAGCTTTTTTGTACTCTCTCTGTTTTAAATTATAGTTCGTTTGTCTTTTTTGACCCCAAATTTAACCACTCGTCTTATTTAAAAAATTTGTGTAAACATAATCAAATTTAAGTTATTCTTGAAGAACTTTTGTTAATAAAGCAAGCCACAACAGAAGAAGTGATATTTTGCAAAATTTTTTGAATAAGATGAGTGGTCAAATTTAAGGTAAAAAGTCAAATGAATTATAATTTAGAATGGATTTAGTAGTTCGTATTTTCACTTACTGCTTGGCTTTTTTCATCTTGGTGATTAGCTGCTTGACGATGGGTATAAAGAAACTATTAATCACGAGGCAAAACTTAATTATTTCCTTGCAAATATTTTGTTGTCGTTAGTTTCTTAATAAACATGTACGAGAAAATATCACGATCATTATCAAACTATAAAGATATATGTTAATCTTACATATAGATAATAATAAAAAATTAACTTTATGCATATCTCTATTAGCATTCTAAATCTCAAGCACAGGTCTCCAAACAAACGGACCTTCTTCAGAGTTTAGACCTGCCTGGCTAGGCAAAAAAACATCAACTTTTCAGGTAATTCTTAGGCAACATTTTTTGCCAAGCAAGTCTTCTAGGTTTTCAATCAAACAGGCCCTGTATCAGTAGAACACAGCAGACAGCTGCATAAAGGCAGCTCCAGATATTTTACATTTTATAAAGTTCTCTCAATACTTAATGATCTTTGAGGAGTAACCAGAAAATAACCTTGTTTTTGCTGACAACATGAATCCCGCAGTCAAGCTTGGACTTGATCAACCTGCGTGCGTCGAATGAGGTGCTTATAGCTATAGGCCGCCTGCTGCCTGCACCTTAAGCAATATTCATGTCAAGTGTCAACACCATTGCTGAACATCCATGTGCGAATCTGAATCCAAGAGGATCCATCCATCCGTATCTTATCTTCAGATATGCCATGCGGCCCATGCCGTCCGAACTTGAATCCCCGGATATTCAATGTTGGGTACCACGGTGGGTCTAGCCGAGAAGCGGTGGCACGCCGCCTCGTCAAGGTCCCAGAACTTGGCGGGAGCAGTGATGCCAGAGTTCGAAGAGGGCATTGATGTCGCGAAGCTTGATGCGAACCGTGGCAATATGCGGCTTGACGGCGTGGAGCTCTATCTATCACGTCCACCTCCACGGCCAGACGCGGCGGCAGCTCCTGGCACAGACGCATGAGCTCCACAGCTCCTGGTATTCCCAAATATTATGATATTTTAATGTTACAGAATCAATTCTCCCTTTTTAGTAAAAATCATATACAAGATGAAAATATATTCATCTTCCACTAAAAACATAATTCCCATTCAATAAATGTACCCTTGAAAAGTGATTAGTTACCATACGTTCGGAATTAATCTGGTAGACTGGACAGCAAAGGCCCCAGTTCAGTCAGGGCTCACTTCATCGAACACCTGCAGCCGCAATTCGTTAATTTACAGCCACAGTGTATGATTTCAAGACATGCATCAACCATAGAACTGCTGATGCTGCCAAGGGACAAGCTCTTGACCAGACCATGCTTAAGTACATCTCAGAAGAGCTATGCACAAACTACAAACAAAATATAAAAGTAGCAGTTCCAAGCAGATTCAACCCCATGTCCAAGGCTCTCAGGCTTCATTCACCAGGCCCAGGGGTACTCAACACTGTCAACCGCGAGGGGCAGCCATTTGCTGCTTCTTGATCCTATCCCCAGCCTTCACCATGCTGAGGAAAAGATAAGATAACGAATGAGAAATTACAAGACAGAATGGAGCTCAAAACAATTGTGGTTACACTGAGGTTATATTGACAAACCTGATATCATGAGGGGTTATAAATATCCATTGAGATCCTTGTGCAACAGCAAAATCTACTAGGGTGTCTAAGCTTATTTTGCGGCTCACCGCATCCTGCCAAATTCATATGGCGCCAGTTACCAAGTTTGTTCTGTTATTAAATGGACAAAGATAATGGCAAGGTCACATGATTGCTCACCATGAATACATCAAACTCATCCATGGCCCTAAATGGTGCTTCTGTCATTCCATGAAGAGATAAGGTGAAGCAAAGGGTTGAGAAAGATCGTTCTCCACCTGGAAGGAAAATGACAGCACGAATAAAAGTTATACAATCAGACAACACTAAACAAAAAAAACATGCATCTCTTTACCAATGTCCTCAAGAATAAACAAAACTTGATTAATTAACTAGGACTATTGGAAGCTGAAACTACCTGAAAGTCCTCTAGTGTCTCTAATGGTATCACGAGACGCATCTTGAGGCATTGTCAGCTACAGTGAACACCATAAACATTTTACTTAGACTGGTTCAAAAGCAGACATGTATGCATTTTCAGATAAACATTAAGAAAATGAAATCCTGTGAAAGTAACTCACCTCAACAGACAGAACTTCATTCTTATAATCTACATTGATGTGCCTGCTGATACCTATCTTTCCCAGGTGCTCGTTGAACCTTTCATATGTGGAAAGGCAGCAAGACTCAGGGATAATCATATTCCATAATTGATAGGAAGACTTGGAAGAAAATTTGGAGCATAGCAAGGAACTTACAGCCACATAAGCTGACGCTTCAAAAGACCCGCATTTCTCTGGAACTTCTTCCATCTCAAGTCCAGTGCCTTTTGACATGCCTATAGAGCAATGAATTTGGCTAAAAACAGATCCTTTTGAGTGCATCACACATGAACTAGTACATTTAACACCATTATCATTTTTCTCAAATTGCTATGAGAGCTGCCAGTCATTATCATATTACTTCAATGCCTACAAATCAATACTAAAATACTGCACAAGTCATGCAAATTTGGCTTGCATATTGAATGCATCCACAACTAAAAGAGAACAGTAGTTACAAAATCACAGCCCTTACCTGTTGATAAGGAAAACAAATCAAACAAGCCTTTTAAAACCATATGCATCTAGTAAGAATGAAGATATCAGGCAAATTGCACCGAACTTACATTTAATTTGACCCTAAAACCTGCATACATTTGTTGTTTTCTCAAGATCTTCTGTCCCTTTTTGTCATGCAGTGCTCTCAGATCATCAATGGTTTCAGTATATCTGCACAAATATTTTTTACGAGAAAGAATCAGAACTCATTGTTTATATATTATGGACATGCACAAACAATTGGTCAGACCTTCTACTTTCTTGCTGAAATTTGTGCTTTAATTTATTAATACGAGCACTTAATTGTTCTATGGATCCATCAACACCCCCAAGAGCTTCCACTTCACTCTCGGCACAAATTGTTGAAGCCTTTTCAAAATTCTCCTACAAAAGATACTGGACATTGTGAGTCAAATAAACCCCTCCATCCAACTGAAACTTGAAGCAAAGTGGTACTTAAGTCACAAGGAAAATTTGGTGGCTAGCAGCTGGAAATTCTTAACAGCTTTTCCAAGTGTGTTCCAATGTCTGTACTATGCATCTAAACTGAGCACATGACTGTAATATAAATCTCTATTTTTTTTTTACAAATGCAATATAAGTTGCTGCTTTTAGAATTTAGAGTAGTAGATTTCAAGTACAACCGACCTTCTATGCACTAAATATCATGCTGTAATGTTTAAAACAATCATCACAAAATCATGTACGAAGTACACCTAAAGGTAGTGTAGCCGCAACAATTCAGTTTGAAATTCACCTTTGATGTTGAGATTCAAAATACACAAGTGCCACTGTCAGTACATGATGAACAGTACCAGTCTGACTACTTGTCTATTTTCTTTCTTGATATCTAGGATGAATTTCAAACTGAATTGTTGCAGCTATACTTAACTTTATTTGTACTACATACATGATTTTTTGAAACATTGCAACATGCTATTTAGGTAACAAGGCACCAAATCTACACTCGAAGGAAAAAGAGGGGATTTGAACAAAGAAGCCAGTTACACGGCAATAACCTGATGAAGCTGTTGAAGACGTGTCAACTCTGATTCAGCAGTTGTAATAGGACCTAAAACCTTTGTTTCCATAACACGTTCATAGTGAGCCTTCCCCTGAAAAGATTCAAAAATACAATGTAGTACCATGACCACAAAAGTATCAAGGACAGTATGCATGTAAGCCTACAAGATAGGTGTTAGAACAGTAACACACTGCTGCATTTAATAGCTGTTATGACCGGCGTCACGTACCAACGCCGGGCCCAGCCCAGTGGCTAGCCACGCCACTGGCTCTGGGCTAGGCGCCCAAGAGATCACTTCAGATATTTTGTTTACTTCCATAATTATAGGATCTTGATTGATTGGCTTGTTAAGAGAGGGATAAATATCCCCAAACACTTTTGGAATTAATTAAGCAAGGCAGATATCTTTGCCTGGCCTCAAGGGCCAACCCTACTCGCCTCTCTCCCTCACACACGCTCGCTGTCGCGCCGCCGCCCACGCTCACGCCTCGCCGCGGCTATCGCCCCCATCCTCCAATCTCCTACCCCTACGCTCTACGCAGTCGCGGTAGGATCCAGGATCCTATCAATAGCACTACCCTGACAAGAGTTGCAAAAGAAAGCAGGGCATTTTTCAGGTGACAGCAAGAGTTGAGCAATACAAGAAGCGGAAAAGGAACTCTTATTTCTGGAGAACCAAATATTCAAATGCAACAAATTGAAACCATATGCTTTCACATAGCCCCTCTCCAATATCATCAAGCTGCAAAACCTGACAAACCAACACAGCACACCTTTATCTAAGGTTCAAGGAAATGATGTATTGCAAGGGAAGAAATGCCATCTCTAAGATCGGCAATGGGTGCAGTGCAAGCAGCCACTACAACTGCAGCGGTTTGCTTAATCGTCCCAACCTCACTTATGCAAACAAAGAGACCGATGCCAGACTCTATATAAGAACATGCACACTGCTCGTGACCTGATCCCTCCTTGCCGAGTCTGCCTCTCCACTCTCGCATCACTGCCTCGTTCGTCTGGGTCATGAAGTCCTGTCTAAGTTTGCAAGCTACTTTATCATTCCTTCATGTAACAAAAACAAAGATACTTCTGTGCCATGCATGTCAATTGGGTCGCCATGTACGTCATCCGTTTTCTGTGTCAGAATCTCGTGCTAATAATTATTATGATCGATGGATCTCGCCGGTCATCAATGTCACCGGTTACAAATACTACTTGGTCATCCTCGATGACTGCTTGCATCATCTTTGGACGTTCCTCTATGGCTCAAATCTGACACCTTTTCGCTTGATAACTTTTTCCCCCTTGCCTCCACTCACTTCGGCACCACCATCAAGGGCACCAATGTATAATGGCCACCATGGTTATTAAGGTGGTAAAGCGAGGCGTGGCGACCAACTACCGCCTTACGCTTAAGCGAGTAAGGCGTAAGGTGAGGCAATGCCTTACCAACTAAAGGAAAATTTAAAACAGCAGCTCAAAGCAGGATATAGATGATAAAGAAAAAGGAAAGGAAAAAAGAAAAAGAAAGGGGGAGTAAGAAGTGGTCTGGCCCAGCCCACGTGCACCAAGCAGCCCATGTGCCCCTCACCCTCTCTGTCATTCCGTCTCTCTCTTGCTTCCCTCACCTTCCTGCTTTGGACGCTGCACATCGATGGAGGAAGAGGAACAGAGGAGGCGGGATGCTGCAGGCCAGCGCTGATTGGGGGAAGACAGCCGCGGCCTGCACAAGCGGCTGCATGGCTCGACGGCGGGCGGTTGGCAACTTCTCCCGTCGGCGGGGGCGACCTGCAGCTTCTGGCTCCCCTCCCGCTCACTGGTGTGGAATCTTCCGCGCGCCCGCTCTCTCCCTTCCGCTCTCCCGCTCACTGGTGTGGAATCTAAGGTGAGCCGTCTGCTGTGGCGTCGTGTGTGCAGCGCCTTGGCGCTTAAGTGACGCCTTGATAACACTGGTGGCCACCAGTTCAACAACACCAGCGCCCACACGTTCTTCCTCACCTGTGGCATCCAACGCCGCATATAGTGTACCCACACCTTCCAACAGAACAGTAAAGTTGAGCGCATCATTCGGTCGATCAATAATGTTATCTACTTGCTTTTGTTTCAGGCATCCATGCCACCGTCCTTTTGGGTCAAGGCCCAAGCCACTGACACATCTCTCCTCGATATCCGCCCCACCATGACACTAAGCATTGGGTCGAGACCCTAGCTACTGGCACATCTCTCCTCAATATCCGCCCCACCAAGACAGTAAGCATGTGTTTTGGTTCCAGTGACCATAGGGATGGAACGGGTTGATCCCAAATTCAGGGTGTTTGGATTAGAGTTTGAGGGGATGGGATGATTCCCAAAGACAAATATTTCTCTATTACACGTGGCAACCCTATCCGGCTATCCCTCAAAAACGAACGGAAGAGGCTATCCCTTTTCGAGGCCGTCTCGCACGAGCAAGCTCCTCCATTACACGAGAGTCAAGGGCTCGAGGCGCTAGGCTAGCGTCGCGCGATTGGAGAGGCACGGGTATGGGCATAGGCAAGGTCGACTCGGACCGGGGTACCATAGCGCAGGCAGGAGGACGTACCTTCTCCAAGAGTGCGGACGATCTCCAATCACCGCTCGAGGATGAGTGTGCCAAGGTGTCGCGGACCTCCAGTCGATGGTCGATTAGGAGAAAGATGAAGAGCTCCGAGCTCCAGCATAGACGAGGTTGAGCTTCGACGTAGGCGAGATCGAGCTCCGGTGGGCCAACCTCCAAATCCACGCCAAGGCCAAGCCCATGGTGCGCGTAGGCGAGCTCTCGCCACCATCATGAGGAGACACGGGGGTGGCAGATCAAAGAGCGTTGCCATCTTCAATCGCCACTCAATGTGGGGTTTGTGAGACACGAAGGGCCAGCAGCACAGTCTTCCGCTCGTGAAGATAAGGGATGGTAAAAAAATATAAGAAAGAATATTTCTAGAGAGGATGGCATATGGACCCATGAATGATAGGTCGGACCTGGTGTTTAACGGCTGCTAACGGTGTGAAAAAGTACCGTGTCCCATCCCTTTGAATCCTTCCAACCAGACAAAAGATTGGAATGAGCCCATCCCTACAACAAAACACAGAAGTGGCCTGGGTCAGTTCCATCCCAAAAATCATGGACGAGTCCATCCTATCCCATCTCGTCCCGAAACCAAACACATGCTAAATTTCTCCACGCTACATCAGGCCCAATTCGGGTCTCTGTCATTGTAGAGTCACATCTTCAAGCGCAAGTGTTACCCATACCTCACAAATACCACCTCCCACAAACTCGCTCCGCCTTGTACAGTTTTCCGCCAACCATAAGGGATATCATTTGTTTGGGAGTCAAGGTGGGATGGGATGAACCCAACCCAGTTTTCAAGGATGGGACAGTTCCTGCTATCTGTTTGGTTGAGGGGTTGGGATGGTCCCTGTTTTTTGTTTGGTAGGAGGAATAGGATGGATGGAATTTTAACACCGTCATCTACAGTTCTGTGGGCCCCACATGTCAACTGTGGGCCCCACCAGCTAGACCTATCTTCTTCCCCTTCCTCTTCTACTGCTGGCCCGCCCCTTGCGTCACCGTCGCCCGCCCACCATCCATCGCGCCCACTCCTCGCGCCACCGCCGCCTGCCGCCAACCCCACGCACCGCCATCCCTGCATCAAAGACTCGCACCCGCTCAGCCGGATCTCGTCGGTCGCCCTTGCACCCAAAGCCGTGAGCTCGATGGCGCAGGAGCTCGACGACGCGCCTCCGTTGTCGTGCGGGAGCTCCGCGGCCGTGCCCCACGCTCCAGCACCAAACCTCGCACCATGGCGGATCCAAGTCCATGTGCCTCCCAACGGCCATCCGTGCCTTCCATCTGAGCAGACCTGGAAGAAGGCCATCCCATACGTGCCTCGCAATAGCCGTCCGTGCCGGGAGCTCGAGGAAGAAGGACGACGAAGAAGACAGTGAGACGAAGAAGAGACGGCTACTGCTGGGACGACCCCATCCCCTCGATTTCAAGGGATGAGGGCCGACCCGAATCTGAGCGAATATTCACATTGGGGACGGACCCATCCCTCCTCGTTCCCGAACCAAACACCGGTATGAATGGGTTCGCCCCGTCCCGCCCCCGACGATCCTTCCAACCAAACACACGGTACAATAAACCCCCAATCGGGTTTCTCTCCCACCACATTGTATTTATGAAACCTCATTCCCCTTCGTTTAGCTTCCTTCCGTCCACAATGAACTTTGCAATTTTGGATGACTATGCTAATCATATGCTAACGCCCATAAGTCCACTGCGCATCCCTTTGCATGCAGGTCAACGGAAACTACTTATGCCAGCTCGAGTTTCATACCTACAAACGATCCTCCCGTGCAGTTCAACCCTACCCATGCGCCACAACAACCCAACGCTCGACGCGTCACGCACGACCGCGACGTACTCTACGACCACGCCTACGACGCTGCCACATATGGCCTCCTCGTCACCGACCCTCACAATCACATGTGCCTCATCACCGACGCCCGCACTACCACATGCGATGGCACTAACGATAGACATGCCTTCACCAGTGCCCACAATGCCACGGGTGGCCCTTCACAACATCTACACGCAACATGCCAAGCCAGCCCTTACCACTACCCTGGCGCCTCCGACCACACCACGCCTACCTCCGAGCACCATCCCATTGCCGCATGTGCTGCATGAGCACCCAATGACCGTGTGGCAAAGTCTGCGATGAAAGAGGAGCATGCAACACTATTGTAGAACCACACCTAGGATACGGGTTTGCGTCCGCCGAACGCAAATGTCGTCTCCGAGAAGTGGATCTTCAAGCACACATTCTAGGCTGGAATAGTACAAGGCACACTAGGAACTTCGCGGCTTCACCTAGCAGCCCCACGTGGACTTCATGAGACTTCCAATTCTATGGCAAGCCCTCCATTGTCCGCACAGTTCAGTCTTTGGCCGTCTCACAACACTGACCAGTTCACAAACTCGACGTGAAGAATGCCTTCCTACATGGAACATTGTCCGTTATCGGACGGTTTAGTGCTCACCACCATTTGAGGACTCCACTCATCCTAGCT